AAAAAAACGGTTAAAATTTTTCCCAGAGTAGAATGTTACGAACAATTCAAATAATTCGATTACTAATTGTAGGCCCCAAAATGGGTTGCTGTCTTTATTTTCCTAGAGTAAATAAATAGCGTTCAGCTATCTCTGCAATTATTTTGTGTAATTATGTACGATAATACAAAGAAAACATTTGTAATGCAAACGCACGCTGCGAAACGCTAAATTACATCACCAAGCTTATGAAAAGTCTTTGGCGGCGGTTTCGTGGCTTGGTACGCGGATCAGAGAAACCGTGCCGACCATACGCCTGCTAAATTAATCCTGATTTACAGCCTTTACTTCGCGAAAATTCTCTCGTCCTATCCGTACTCGGTTTGTAACCGCAACTTTGCCCGACTATCCTGTGATTTATAAGGAAAGCCGTCTGTGTCCTCGAAGTGCGTAACATTGAAACGCTTTCTACGGTGTTACAAACAGAAGGGTACTGTTATCGATACTTTGTGGAAGGTGATGAATTTAAGAGGGGAGGAGGGGGAGGAAGTCGGGAGAACAGCAGGCTAACTGAACACTTAGGTACAATGTTAGGACACGTTCTAGATCAACGGGTTTACGCTGTTAATTCAGTCAACCCTTTTCTGTTTAAGGCAGAAAATTGCAATTGAAATGGAAAATTCTAATTAACATGAGGAAGAAAAATTTGTATTCTTCTTGTTTTTCTAAAACACTGAGCTTTCTTCAAATTGCACTCAAGATATTATTTTAGAAATGTACAATTTATTTACAACTTGTTATTTATTTCAGACGTATTGAATTGCCGTAGTCTCTGTCCACTTATGAATTTACGTTTTACCTCAGTCAACTACTTCCACACAATAATTGAATAATTGAATAATCTCCTACGGATACAAAATAGAAATTCCATTTTCGACTCTTTATTCTTCCAACATTGTTAATGTTTCGACGTGTGTAATAAGAGAATATCGATTGCAAGCGTTAAAAAATACCTGACTAGAAGAAAACAATAATCTAGGAATAGTGGACTCGCATACTCTGGCACACGCGAAATTCCTGCCACGCGATATGTCAATAGTCTAGCTCGCAATTTTTACACTCGGCAAAACGAGTATCGTAGCTCAAGTCTCCCCACGTGGTTCACGTGTATGTTTGCGCAACACGGCGGAAAAGACAATATCATTGGCATGTCGCAGAAGTCGGAGACAGGAACGAAAACACTTGGTGTCCCTCGTCGTGCTCACGGGAAGGGCACGTTTTATCGACATCGGTATTGCGTGCCAAGCACGGAACGTACGATGACATGCGTGCTATCTCGGCCGGACACGGTTTAAATCATTATCACGCGCGAGCGCGAATGAGATTCTCTTGAAGCTTTACCTCAAGAATTCTCGAGAGATATATCGAGTGCATTGTGTCAAGATTAGAAGCCTTGAATCGTAATGGAAAATATTTGCAGATTCAAAGAACACTTGTTAAAGTGCTGCGTTGCCGACACGAAAATATTTTCAGGAAGAGTGGAATATTATAAAAAAAAAAGATTGACAATGGCATCTGTAAATCGAAAATCATATTATTTAACAATAAGATGCAACCACAAAATCATTATATATGCGACACGATTGATCATGTAAAGAAATGACGGCTGGAAGGTTAAATAAACACTTATTGCTCGGAAATTGGCGGCGAGTAAACACAAGATGAAGCGTCTATGTCGAGCAAAGTGACTGGATAAAGGAAGATACGACAGCTGGCAAAGCGTGGTCCTTGCCCCGACCTAACCCAACCCGATCCAAAATATTGTATAGAGTTCGACGTCTTTTCACGTACGAGACGAAAGTGCGCCATCGCGGGGGAAAAGGTGCTTCCGAGGCACAGCTGCCGCTGGTGGCCAACGTGAAAGCGTAACAGTTGCCCAAAAGACGTGCCTGCTCTGCTTTGCTCTGCTCTGCTTTGCTCTGCCTCTGCTCTGCCCTACCCTGCCCTAATTGGCCATTGTCGACCGTCTTGCGCGGCGATGTCGCATTCACATCGAGAAACCTCGACGATTGTGAATGATTTGTGGGAGTGAATCGTGAATCTTACGGAAGTTCGAAAGTCAGGCCAGAAGGACCGCAGGGAAACGCATCACTCCGCCGCCTTGACATTCATTGATGATGTTAGTCGCGGCGTGGTACACAATAAACCGTTAATCATAATTAATCAGAAACGGCGGGTACGTGAAGTAGTTTCAATTATCGTTACGTGTCGTACGGGAAAAGAATTTCTCGCTTGATTAATGACAATCGCGTAGATATACACGTAGGTTCGCGGAAGCTTAAGGATTTAAATCGCGTCGCTGTAATTGTGAACGTAGCTTTAGGTACGTCCGCAATTCTGCGAAAAATTCCGGCGAAGTAACAGGTGGACCTACGGCGAATTCCGGCGAGAACCGGGACTCTTTCCATCGCGTGTCGATTTATATATGTTTCGAATGAGAAATGTGATCGTATAAAGCATAACTTCTGCGTATTGGACTACATTTATATAATTATGGTTATATTTCATTTGTGTCGAAATTAAACCTACTACTGAATATATATAAACTGTAATTGTAAGTTGTAATTCCATAATAATGTTCAAAATAGCTTTAACTCAAATTTCAAATAAAATGAAGAAATTACAATTGCAAGCAGAAGATAGGAAAATTCTATTCTAAATTAAATTCTAAGCAATTTGAAAAGAATATAATTTTAATATAAATTCTAATCTGTAAAGAAAGTTGAAAAAAATTCCAAGTATGTAAATCAGGAGGAATGTAATTTCAAGTTATATTTTAAATCAAATAGAAGAATTATAATTCCGTTTCTGACGTTTAATTCTCTTTTTCTTTATCGCGTAAAGTAGCTATACGTAGTTATCTAATCTTATTAAGTTAATAAGTAACGTTATAATAAAAAATTCGCTACTTGTCCTGAATATTTCCTCTCTTCGGCACACCGATTCTTATCTATTAATATTGCGTATGATGAACGTGATCAGAGAGATTTCACAAATGACTCTACACTGACCTACGATTACTGTTGAGACACGTTTACATTTTGCCGATGCGTGCTATCAGCCGATTGCTTCAGCGAGATAATGTCCTAAGCTCTCTACGATGGATGAAACGTTGAAGTCGAGACGATTTGATACATTATCCATTTCATGTTTACGATTGACGTTATCTGATGATGGCATACATAAGCGGGAATAAATAAAAATTTTAGAAAAAAAGAGAGAGTGAAAGATATAAGTGATAAACATTGTTCTATCAAAGTAGGTTGATTGATTATCAATTAATCGAAATCCATCGAAACAGTACATTGATAATTAAGTTTGCAAAATATCTCCACTTAGATAAAATTTAAATTATTGTTACTTATTATAATTTTTTATAATTTTTTCCACGAGCAATACTGTTATGTCACTTATTTTTTCCCAAGACTTTAGGAAAATAAAACAATTTCGGGGAATATTCTGATTATCATTATCTATAAAAAAAACCGATTTAATTATTGTTTGTATGTATTTTAAATGTAAATATAGGATGCCCTTTTAAATTTCACGAACCGATCGCTCGCGAATCGTAAAACTCAAATTACCTGCAACGTCATTGTACGGCATGTCAGCTATTTAATTATTCAATTATGAGAACAATAGCACGCGGCATTAGCTGGTTCACAGTCTCTGCTTATATATATCAAGGTCGTTTTTCCAATCCGGTCCGCTCCGAGAAGTCGATAATTCAATACGGGAATCGCCAAAAGTAGGACGGAATTTTATTTAACGCGTTCCCCTGAACATTTCATTCGTATAACGCCGAGCGAATTATAAGTGCCGCACTAAAATCTCGAGTAGAAAATGCTCACTAATTAGTAAGAGAAAACTCAAGCCGAGAAAACTCAGAACTCTGTTAGCCATTCGACGAGGCGTCCATAAAAGTAAAGTTATTCATTTGTTATCTCTTCATTATCTCCCAGTCTCCGAATTTTTATCAGTCTCTTTTTCAAACAGAATTTCATAGTATCACGGACTATAGCGTCTGAGCGCGCCTCGTAAAATTTTCACGATCTTTCATACTGTTCGACGCAAAGAATATTTGATGGTTCAAAAATTTGTTGCATTCACGATTAAGATTCAATCAGAGTTTATGTAAGCAGTCAACAATTAATCAATAATAATTTTTGTAAACCGACATTTAGTTTACGTTACAATAATCGATCAATGTACATTATTATATGAGATGTAATGCACATACATAGACGTATATATTTAGAGAAAAAAAAATGTGTAGCTGTAATCTTAATCTCTTTTCGAAAGTAGGTCAAAATATTACTAGTCACGACGAGGAGGCAGGATTTCATAAGTTTGGGACGTTTTCAAGACTTTACGATCGTCGCCTTGAAACTTATTCGCACGATAAGCAAGTAAAAAATGCTAATGAATTCAACGAATTAAATTAACACCTATTATATGCCAGGGATATCAGCCGTTTGATTAATGCCCGTTCTTTTTTATATTAAACGTAATACGACAAGTGACATTACGTTTGCCGGATATCAAATAACACTGATGGAGCTGGCCGTATGGCGCATTTCAATAAAATATTAACCGTAAGTAACTGTTTGGTGTCGCGGACACGAGTAATATTTTACCTTTAGGCGCGCTGCGATAATGTTTCTCATTCAAAAATTATACGAACTCGTAATCAATTTCAGATATCCTGTTTCACATATTTAGTTAAATAGTTTTAGGCTCAAGGTATGTCACTATTTTAAACGAGTAATAAAGACTTCAAATTGTGATTAAAAAACGTTATGTAAAATGTATGGCATCAGGTGTCGCGCCGTTACAATTAATTTAACATCTGAAGCAATGAAAATGTCGCGTTCGCGACAATATCCGATTTATCTGGGCCTCACTCGTCTAAACAATGGCAACCCGCATTCCGTATCAACGATCACAAATCTGCATCTTACCTTATGATTTTCCGCCTGTTGTTGGGATGCAATTTGTTCGCCATCTCCGGATCGACCTCCATCAGTCTTCGGTGAAGCTCCTCGTTGCTGCTGTCGCATAATCTCGCGTCGAATTTCAACTTCTTCGGCGCCGTCTCGTCATCGTCGCCGTCATTCAGTCGATCAACTTGTACATTATATCGGTCGTCCGATCTGTTCTCGATCGACGCGCTCGGATTGGTCGCGCCCGAATCGACTTGCACCGACGGTTCTTTCGGATCAGTCAGAAGGATCTCCCATAGCAGTGATTCTATGTAATAGTTCGTACCACCGACGACGATCGGCAGTTTCCTCCTGGCCAGCAGGTTGTCTATCTATATCGATAGAAAAAGGAACAGTCGGACCAGAGCGTAGATCAGAACAGGACCGAGCGATCCGCGCGGGAGACCGTGGCTAATGATCGTATCAAGGTCTTCGCGAGGATCAGGGGCGTTCCGATTGGCTTCGTCCAAGATCTTTATTTTACGAAGTCGATTTCGCGAACCGAGCTGTGAACCCGTCGCGATGGTTTCGCCGCACGCGAAAGATCCAATCGGCATAATTATAAACCTTAACACGCACAACAATAAGCGTCTCGTGCCGACCAGAATGCGAAGCGGAAGAAAAAAAATATCACTTTCGACATCTGCGATTCATCAAGCATTTCTTTGCACGTTTTTCATTAACACGCCCCGCGAAGGATGGCTTGCCCCATCTGATGATTTTATCTACTCGCGCTATTTACGGATTCTTTTAACACGTTTTGAAATTTTCAGAGAATCATAATTTCACCTGTTACGAACTAATCCTCGCTTGATTGTGTCAGACTCAAAACGCGTTGCAAAAGTTAATTAATGTTAGGAATCGGATTATTCATGCATGTAACTTGTTACGGTAGTCATTACCATCGCAAATTATGAAATTTTCCGCTAGTTTGTGAAAAGATATAACAAACGAGTTCTTAAGACAGCATAACGATTATCTTTATCGCCGCGTAATTATAGCTGTCACATTAAACGTCAGTCGCCGCCGTTAGCGCGGAAAAGGAGAACGAGATGTGACGATTACGATTGGTAGGGCCATGTCCCTGAAGTCGATTACGGAGAAGTTGGTCAGCGGATCCACGATGTCCAGCATGTGATGCGGCGCCGCCTTTCTTTCCGCCGGGGTCACCTTCGCGGTAACGATGTCCAGGCCTTTGTACACCTGCGGGCCGGGAGAGAATCGCCGTAATTAAAAGTGAAATAACGAGGGACCGACGGGACAGCCGCGACAGAAATAAGCAACGGCTGATAAATAATGAATGAATAGAAATTATGCGATATCGAATGATTCCGTTAATTGCACCGCTTGTGTGGCTTGTGGCCGGGTATAGACGCACCGAATAACACAGATGCGATTACATTCAACACAATCGCCAGAAATTCGTGTCCGATTCGAATACTGCGAAAGTTGAAAAGTGAAACGAGAGACTTTGTCGAGCTCTTTGCCGATAAAAAATTGCCGCCGTTGGTGCGAGAATTAACGAATTAACGCAATTTCTTATCAACACGATTTATAATCTCACTGAATTTGACTTGTACAGCCCCGTAACAAAGGTGCGTCGCTTAAAAGTTTTCACGAGTCTTATTAGAGCCATTATTTTTCCGTGAACGGTGTAATCACGTGCTTATCGTGCTTTTTTAACACCCTATTAAATTGTTAAAAACTTTCAACGTACATACCGAACGAGTATAATTAGATACAGGTTTTTAATAAAGTAGAGATAGATTTTCTCACACAAATCACGTATTGCATCTTTTTGCTGAAGTAGTGAGTGTAATTAAATGCACAGAGACAAATAATTAACTACAAACTTGTAATTATCAGTGATTATCTCAATAATCCGAACTCAAGAATCGCTGTCGGTATTTTTTCGTTCGGGCGTTTTCAAATTTGCATTCACAAGTGAATTTATAAGCAGTTATGTCCAATAGAGTAGGTATACACGTCATCGGGAGTGAATCAGAATGGCTCCCACGCAAAGGCAAAAAATCATATTGTTGGTTCCCGGCAGTAATATGAGAGAAACGATACAAAGCGTTAAAAAACCTGATTTTTACACAAACGGGAACTTGAAATGGTGATAATTATATGACTCGATATCATGCCGAAACATGAAGACATACAGTAAATCCTCGTACAACATGGTTTTATATAACGTTTGCGGCAACCCTCGTATTACGCGGCGAATTATCTCCCTACTAGCGTTTGTAAATCGTGGTCTGGGGATCTATTACGGTTCTCGGATTGGGTGAAAATGACGAAAGTGAGCGGCTCTGTCTCTTACTAAAGAGACAGTTAGAAAGAGACAAAGCTACTCACCTTTGTCATTTTCACCCAATTCGAGAACCGTAATAGGTCCCCTGGTCCAATTCTGTATACTTGTCAAATATCATTGTGGCGACGACAGCTATTTTGTGATAAAATTTCTGTAATATCGGTTTCTTTTGTTGGTAATTTTATTAGACTTAAAGTTTTGTAAAATCAGTTGACATTAATATTAAGATTTTATTGACTATTAATTTAATAAACTTTTTAAACTTTTTTAAGGTAAAATAAAAATAATTTCTTATAATATTAAATCCTTTTCAATTTTTCTAATAATGAGAAAATTATCTTCCAATATCTCCAATTTTAAATAAATTGTGACAATAAATCTCTATGATTTGGGACCGATTTTTCGTATTATATATGTTAAGATTTATTTCAATATCTTCCTATCGATTTTTCCACACTTAGGTATATGATGTTAAATTAATGCTACGTTTTAAGTGGTTCCTTAAAATGACGCGCTTTGAGTCAAACGCCAAAGAAAACTTTCCATCTGCAACTATAACACAAGTTTTACAACGCACTTATTATATTAAACAATATTCCCTTCTGGGATAATCTATATCGCGTCACGCCATTGAAACACACTTGAACCGTGCAACCAACAAAGATTGAGGCAAGTGTCTAACCTTCGTTCCACTTCGCTCGGCAGCATGAATGAGCTTTGATCAGAAACCTCGTACATCGTTTCTACAACGATGAAACGTCGCAGAGAAATATAGCGTGTAAAGTATCGGCAAAGTTCTCGGGGACAATGACCGACTACCACGATTGAATAGCTAACGTTTGAAACTCATTAGGTCTCCTTGAAAATGTCAAGCGCAAAATCAGAAGATTTTAGACATTTGAGAGGCATTAGTAAAATCGATAAAGGATTAACGACAAGAGATAATAAACGATTCAATTATGTATAATTTAAAAAACAGGCTACCGTCAGCCAATGATAAATCCGCATTGCTCGGCACGAATAAAAATAAAGGAAGCATAAAAGTAAAATTATAAAATTAATAAAACTAAAAATGCATCTCTGGTAACCTAAGTAATTATGGCTAAATTATAATTGCTCCCATTAATAGGATTTCAGAGAAAACTTTGTATCATTCTATAATACAACAAAGACAAGGATAAATTAATGATATTCCAAATTAATAATATTCGCCACCGGCTCCGCCATTTGCCAGGGCAATTGATAATCCGTTAGTAACTCCTCTCTCATTCCGACATTCCTACGTTTCTGCGAAAATGTAACCGTGCTTTGGCACTGATATATCCGCCTTCCTTAATTCAAGAAGAATCCAGTACGTATAAAGTACGTGCCTGGAGGCTCAATAGTGCCTTCAATCACTTTTCTGCTTCGTTAATCGCACAGTTACCAAACGAAGTTCCATCGGTACTTCGTGACTAGCTTATATAATGGCAAAGCGAAGCGAAGGAACAGTTGTAGAATTCGTGTAGCACTGAAGTAGAAACGAAGTTAGACACGTGTTAACCGGTTCTATCTCGCAACCAAGATTCCGCTGGGCCCTTTAAATTACTTAACGCACCAAACGGCATTTTCTCCATTCAGTCAAATTATTGATTCAATGGGATCAGTTACATCGACTCTTACCGTTCAGAAAACTGTACAATTATCGATCGTTTTGCGATCTTAGAAAGATACACACCTTATCAACATTATCTTGTCAATGACGCAAGCCATTTGAAATTTAAAGTGGCAATCGTATCAAGACATTTAAATCGCTTGGAGGCCAGTGACTATCATTATCGCGCGCGTGGAGAAATTCACAACTTTTATGGTTAAATTAACGCGTTCTCATGCAGATATCAATCAACTTGGTAAAATACCAACTGAATTTCTTACGTGAAATCGAAAAGTATCGAATCGATGGAAATAAGATTTGTCAAGAATAGCAACCAGCGTGCCGAGCAATCCGTAACGTGCGCGATGCGCTCGATGAAACAGGTTTCCAAGGTTCTAGTATACGTCCGAGATATCTTGAATAGCCACGCGTTCGCAACCTCATTAGCTTTCATTCATCAGGCACTTGTCGGACGAATTGTTTTATGGTCCAGTGGATTAAGAGAAGTCGAGTGCGATGTGTCGACAAACAAACGATCGGGGAACCGTTCGAGATGAAGATCTTCGATTAATGAGCCATTCACATAAACAATAAATTAATTCATCGATAGAAATGAATTAAAACAAACGTCAGTTACGTCTCGACTCTTTAATATACCTTAAAAAGGAACATAAAGTTTAAATGGCGATGTAAATATACGAAGAAAGGAAAGCGTGATATGCAGCCACGAAAATAGTCTTAATTAGCTACGGTGAATTTTCGAGGATCCTTCTTTCCTCTCCTCTTTTAGAAATAAAGGTTTCTAATTAATCTAATAATGCTTCATTAACTCAAGATAATAATGACGATTAATATTCATTGCGTAATCAAGAACATGTCGCAAGCGAAAATGCTAATCGCTCACTCCACATTTCGTCGCACCATAATTCGCATGCTATTTCGAAAGTGAACTCAAACAAATCTGTTCACGCGTTCTGCACACGGATCAGCGTCGTCCGCCGTTTTTGCCCAACTTAATTACTTTCTGTTTAGCACGTCTGGAAGCGACGTTCTCCCGGATGCGTTCTGTCAAGAGATCTTGCGAGATTTTAGCGAGAGAAAGAAAGCGACAGATCCTGAATAATACATGGACGAGATATTGGTAAAGTTCAATGGCAAAAATCAGACATTGCTTTTCATTATTAAAATTAGCGGCCATCAATCAGATCGTTTCCATATTCAGTACTTGTTCATTTTAAGTCCCGAGATGATATGCAAGCTGTATTTTGTAAAGACGTAAAACATCTGGAGATTTAATAACATTACATGGCTGACAATGATTCGAGTCTTTCCTAAAGAATAGTTTTCTATATGTTTTTTGTTTTATGCAATGGTTTTGAATGTATACAGACGAGAGTTAATATGACGCAAAGTTACGCGAAACGCAAGGGACTTCCGGTGAAAGATCGATACCTCGAGGGCTCGCGAGGACCGTCAAATTGTCAGTTCTAATTTCGTCCAACCATTGATTACGTAATTAAGAGTACTGCGGAAACGACAGCTGGACAGATTAATCGACAGACTTAAATAGAGCAGGTGTTCGAGGTTCGTCGAGATTTAAAGAAGCGAGGCACCATTCGTCTTTCTCGTTTTGTTCGTCACTTCGTAACCAGTTTGTCAGCGGGACAAGTCGCATTCCACGACGTGGTGTTGGCGGAAGTCGCGGCCGTTCCAGACAGATCTAATTCGAGACTTCAGAAATAGATGAGAGAAGGAGCGAAGCGGAACCCGAAGGGGGTGGTGTGCGAACGTTTCCTAGACTCAAGGTCGCGAGGCTAAGGAGCTTGAAGAAGAAGGAAGCCACGTCGTGTCGACCAATCGGATAAACGGAGCGTTTCTAACGGTGCTTCGATACGGGAGGAAGTTCGCGTACTGGATATATTCTGTTGTGATTTATCGATAACGCTCACGGAGCCTCTCGCTCGGCCTCCATCGCTCGCAATGGCAATTATCGAAGTCGCCGGCAAATCGTAGGGCAATTATGCGAGATTTACTGATCGACGCGTAAGTTATTCGTGCCCCGGGATCGGGGCCTCTGAGAAAACTTAGGTCGCGCCGTAGCGATCGCACTCTGTGCCCGAGTTTTTCGAGTGGAAATCAAAGTTTTTAAAGAATAAGCGATTCTTCTGTGATTGTCGGAATAAAATGTGTCATAATCAATGCGTTAAATACGCCTTCACACATCGTCATGTTTGTGCGACACACATTCTAAAA